AAAACATTTCAGAAATTTCTCGACAAAATATGTTCACATTCATTGTTCTATTCAAGTCCTGCAGTTGTTTCCTTTCTTGATGTGTTACCGGACAGTTTTACAGGTACAAACTCACTTGATTGCGTTCATTTTTCATTTGTTTATTGAAGATATGAAGCAGCAAAATGTGATTCTTTTCGAAGTCACTGACTCATATTTTAGCTGTATGAATTGCTTTAGTGATTTCAAATAAACTGACGAGTGAACATACGAATAATTTGCAGTGTTGGATGAATGGATATTGTTGAGTGTACGCGATAAACCTGAGTGGAGATTAGGAGAAAGACACGTGAACTGTGGATGGCGCGCTGCGAAAACGATTCACGAATTGAAATGCGGTCAGAGTGCGTTGGTGCTGTCAGCCGTTCGATACGGACCGGATCGTTGCGGTGATATCGAAACTCTGAACGAAACCCTCAACTTCATGAGATCTCTTGACTATGCGTACATTGGTGAGTGTATATCAAGTTGGGCTGACGACAAGGGCGTTCTCTCTGTATATCGTGCTTTCGATGGCGGTTCACTTCGAGATCACCTCTATAAGGTAGCGGCGATTCATTCGAGAGATCATTTGCTGAATTCTTCTCAATATATTATTCATTTATTTGAGCGAATAATGGAAGAGAGTTTTTGCAATTGAAATTTCATCTAATAGCGTTGCAATTGTCAATTTTTAATTACTTTTTTTCCAGTCAGAAAAAAAATTTTTCTGCGCGATTAATTGAATGTTCGTTTGAGGTGGATTGTTTGGTGGAAAGTCACGGTTTAAAACTCACGAATCGTTTAGTTTGGAAGATGAAAAAGTATATGATGAATTTCTTTGCGCGTGATAAAAGAGGAAGCTTTTTAAAAATGAGTAGTTAGTATTTGTAATCAACTGATATTGGTGGTATGCAATGCGATTCGATTTAGAGTAATTGGCGAGATGAATTCTTCGTGAAATATTGCGTTGATCGTACAGTTTATTCGTTGGAGATTGTCGATATTCGTTTCATTTGTCGTCAAATACTAGAAGCATTGTCGCTGTTTTGTGCGCTCTCAATTCCATTTAGTAAGCTCAATTCATTTCTTGTCGAATTTTATGCAGTTGCAATAGAAAAAGAGAATTTTTTGAAGTTTATTGAGGCAGCAAAAGAAAATTATTTGCTTTTATTGCCTATCATTAGGATGGCGAAAAGATGGAAAGATGAAGATATCAATCTTTTGGATATAAAAGCTGAATTTTAAGTTGTTGATTTCAGTTGATATACACAGTGGTAATATATCGATATCAGATTGTGGATGTGAACTGATCGATGCTGAACAAGGTTTTTTTTATTTAATTGGTGAAGTTGATCATGATCTGTTCTTGCCATTTCAAAAATATACTCATGTCTACTGATCCGAATAGTTGATCATTACCCATTTTGGGTTATTTAAAGCATTCATCGTTTAAATAACCCAAAATTTGTTCATCGTGCAATGTGCCATTGATTTTGCAGTTTTGGCTGGACAACCAACTTTTCACAGACCCTACATGCTGAAAGCGTCATGGGTTAATGTAAGTTATTTTGATGCTCATGAATGTATTGTATATTTAAATATATTTAATAATATATTTAAATTGTTATTCTCCTTTGCCTGTTTTCCTCCTCCCCAACAATAGTTGGGGTAGTATATTCGCCAGATAGTATAAACTGTATTATACTACTTTATACATATTGACATGCGAATAAAATATTATTATTATTATTATTAATGCTTTTTGACAACTTTCTTAGCAGTGTTTGTTTCGTTTAGAAATACTTTTTAGTGAAATCTCACATAGCGTTTGGTGAGGGCATTTATAAAGAGGTAGTGCTTTCATTAAAAAAAGTAAATGATTGCAGACAATCGAGGACATGATGGTGTTTGCTTTCGGTGAATTCCTTTTCGAACTTCTCACAGGTTTCTTCTCATTTCCGATGAATTCAGTCAGTGAGGGACTGTCTTTAGTACCAACTGTCTTTCGTAAGTTACGTTTCATTTTTTCACTGAGTTGTAGAAAATATTGGGACTTTTTTTTGACACTTGAATAAATTTTATATTCGATCGTGGTAGTTGTTGATTTTATATTGTGAATAAAATGAACATTAAATGAAAAGTTATTGATGAATTTCAGAACCAATACTTAAATCAATATTCGCGCCCGAAACACGTTCTTTGCCCACTCTTGTCGAGCTCATCAGCAATGAGTTAGTTGGTTATATTTGCGAAGAAAGAAGAATATTTGATTGTTGTTAATTTCAATTCTTTCGGCTTGATGATTTCTGTTCTATCCTACATGAAAGATCATCGTTGTTGTTGATTCTCATTACAAAATGAAGAGTTTCGGTGCAAATTTTTTGGAATCATTCTTTTTGTTTTCGGA